AGAGAGGCGAGGCTGAGAGTGATGGTGTGTTGGAGTCGGTCAGCCCGGCCTGGGGACGGACGCAAAGGGTGGTGCGTGGCACGGTGAGGCGATGCGCGACGACGTGCGACGGTCTCGGCCTTGGTGTCGACCTGCGCATCGAGCAGCAGCTGAGCTGTCATCGAAGGGCAGGAAGGACGTTCCTACGACGCCCATGCCTGGACGTGAACGGCAAGGATGCCCGTGAACGGCAAGGATGCCGGGATGACGATGGCCCTTGCGAGCTTTGATGTGCGTGCTGCGGCGTCGACAGCGAGAACAAGACGCGGTCCTGGAGAGGGGTATCATGGAGGGTCGCAGAGGACTGGGTGATAGTTGGTCGTCTGACTGATTTGAGCGGCATCGTCCAGAGGGCGGTGGCTGACGACAAAGAAGCGTGTCGCATGCATCACATGACTGCGGCGGTAGTCGCCATGGGGCCGGACGGCTTCTCGGGAGGCTGCGGCTCGCTGAGCGGCGTCTCGGGCGACGTCACGGGGGTCGTGAGGGGGCCTTGTCCGGGCGCTCCGTCTGGCTCCGTCATCTGCAAGACGTCGGACACGTCGGTGCTGGACGACGAGCTGGTCGTGTGCGTCATGTAGCTTGCCGGAGCGCGCGCACTGGCATCGAACAGCGTTCCCGCGTCGCGACGGGCGTTCGGCCTGCTCTTTGCTGTCGACCAGGACGAGAAATAGTCGGTGCCAGACTTGGTAGTGGTCGACGGACGATGTTGACCCGCGCTGAAGCTTTCCTCGGCGTCCGGATGAGAGCTCAGGGATGTCGCCATCTTTGCAACATCCTCCTGGGACGCTGAGCCATTCCTGCTGTGCTCGCGTGCCCACTGCCGGGTCCGATCCTCCTTGACTGCCTTGGTTTGGGTGCTGATGTTGTCGCCGCTGACCGGAAGGACGACGGGCACGGCAGGCTTTAGCTCGGTGAGCGAATCGCCGACGGGACGTAGCTTGAATGTCCTCCGTCCCTGGCCATAGCCCTCCGGTCGCTTGACCGGATGTTGGCTCGGGCGAGAGGGCGCTGAGGTCGGCGACGAAGCGGCGGCCTGGTCCTTTGGCCGTACAGGCTGCTGGCCGCGCCTCTCGATCTTCTGGCCGAGGATCTCGATCGTGTTGATCTTGGCACCACGCTCGGCCGCCATCGTCCTCTCGAGCAACGTCATTCTCCTCACCGTCGGCTTCTTCGGCGCTTCGTGGCTTGTGTGCGACGGCGCCGTCAGCGGGGCGGTGGAGGCGGCCGACGGCCCACGAGGCTCGTCCCGACTGATGGCCGCGTTGAGCGCCCTGGAGGCTTGGACCGGACCCGACGTTTCACTCGAGGAGGCCGGGGTTTCGGCCGCCGACCCACGACTGTCGTCGCCGTCGCCCTGAGCTGCGACGTCAGATTCCGAATCGCTGTCTGGCTCGACGAAGCGGAAGGTTCGTCCGTCGCTCCCTTTCGGAACGAGCAGGAGCTTGGCCCTCTGCGCCGAGCTGTGCCTCGACATGGCTTCGCCGGACTGCGATGCGGGCAGCGAAGGCGAACGATGGCTCATCGGAGTGCCCGGCACGGGGCCGTCATGGACCAAGCCCGTGAGCGGAGGCGATGTCGAGGCACGACAGAGCGGCTGGCGACAGGGAGCCTCTGTCACCGGCACCACCTCCTTGGGATCGATGGGATCCTGCGCTGTGGCCGTGACCGTGGCCTTTGACGGTGCGAGCCGCAGGTTGAGCCCGGCTGCACTCTGCCGGAGCGCATCGCTGTTGAACACGGCCGACCACTGCTCGTGCGCGGCGAGCTCGTCGACGCTCTGCAGCGGCGGTGTGCGGTGGGAGCTGGGGTGGACCCAGGGGCTCTGGGCGTAGATGTCGAGCGGCGAGACGCTGCCATTGCTCTGTTCGCAGCCCAGCGAGCTGCGGATGCTGGCGTTGCGGGACAGCTGGCCATTTCCATCGCCGGACGTGGCCTGCGACCGCGTGCGCGTCCGCGGCTTGCGCGGCTTGGACCCGAATGTGGTGGTGAAGCTGACGGTGGGCGAAACAAGGGCTTCGGAGCCCGTCCGTCGATGTCTGTAGCCGGCGGCCACAGAGTGCAGCTGTCCTCTGGCGAGGTCCGGCTCGGATGCGCCGTCCTTGGCGGCAGCACTTCCTGGCCTGGAATCGAGGCTTGCGACGCTGCCGATGCTGCTGAAGCTCTCTCTGTCGCCGAAGCGGACCTTGGAGAGGCCGAGTCCATCGGTGTCGCTGCTGGCGCGCTGCCCTATGCTGTCGAACATCGACGTCGGGACAGCTTGCGCGTCCCGCAGGCTGTGCGAGGTGACGTGCTCGGTGGCGACCCAGTCGCGCGCAGTGGAATCAGTCAGGCGCGTCGTCGCGACGTCCACCTTGGAAGGCTGCTGGTGGAGAACGGCGGAGTCCCTTGAGGGCCGAGGCTGGCGCACGAGCAGCTGACCGATGTGGTTGGCGAGGAAGTCCTCGCCGACGACCTTGACTGGAATGGCTGGCATCGTAGACGACTGGTCCGGGGTCCGCTGCACCCTCCCGGAGAGTCTGCCAGTGGGCTGAGCTACTGCGAGGTGGTAGCGGCTGAGTCGAGTCGCTGGAAGGCTCGTTTGCAAGGGCTTTGCTGGTGGTGGTCTGCCTTAGAGAGGTCGGTGCGCCTCACAGATGTGGCCGCACATCGCAGTCGGAAGGCGAATGGGCGACGGGTCGGGGAGCCGAAGCGAGCTGGGCTGATCAATCGAGGAGGCGGGCGAGCGAGGGCACTCAGTCGTTGGCAGTCCGAATGGACAGCAGGCTGAGCAGGTGGGTATCGTGAGGCGGAGGAGACGACCACCTGGGCCTCTTGCTGCGTCTCTGGCAGCCAGGAGACGCCGGTTGAATCGGCGGTGCGCACAGTCGATGGCAGTGGGTCGATCGAGTCGAGTGCGAGAGCGAGCGTGCCGGCGATAGAGCTGGCAGCGGAGCAGGGCTAGAAGAGTGCCCGCGTGATTCGGTGGCGTGGCTGAGCTGGGGTCGGGCGGGCGGGCTGACACGCTGGTTGGCGAGTGGCTGCAGGGAGGGCGCCTGGCGGTCGAGTGAGAGAGGGCGGGGGGGATGGAAGGTGCAGGAAGATGGGCGGTAGTCGATGGAAGCAGGATGTGGCGTGGAAGGGGTAGGGGATGAGGGCGAGGAAGGTGGTGTGATGGAGGCCAGGAAGCGAGGAAGGGTGATAGGCGTCTAAGGCTGACTGGAGGGGGAGGGGCCGAGTCAACCAGGCAGAGAGAGAGGCACAAGCAGTCGGCCGCTGAGACGCGCCCGGCGACTTTTGACAGCAGCCGTCGCCCACAGCTGGCAGGCGGCACAGCGCAGGTGCGCAGCCCAGCTCTGGCCCCGCCGGATGACAAGCGCCACCTGCCTGCCTGCCTGCCTGCCTGCCTGCCTGCCTTGCTGCTGCTGTTGCTGCTTGCTCATCCCCCTCGGCCCAGCCCGACCGTCGTCTTGCTTCCCGGCCTTCCGCAGACGCTGACCATCCGTTGTTTCTCTTCGTCTCTGTCTTGCTTTCTTTCTTTGGCCGAAGCGTTCCAGAAGGGAGTCGCGGCAGCCTCGTCAGCAGCAGCTAACGGAGAAAGAGAGAGAGGGCCGCGTAAGACGAGCGACAGGTCAGGCAGGCAGGCAGGCAGGCAGGCAGGCAGGCAAGCAAGCAAGGCCATCCAAGGCCATCCAAGGTCGATGGGGAGGGCAAGAGCCCCCCTCATCGCCCCCCTCTCTCTCTAGCTCTCTCGACCAGAAACCAGCAGCGCGCAACGGGCAGCGTCCGCCGTAACGAGCGAGAAAGGCGGGCGGGCCTCGCTTGGCCGGCCTGGCCTCTAGGCTGCCTCGAACCAGCTCTGGCACGGCGGCTCGCTCGATGGCCCCGGCGGTCGCCGGCCAGCAGCGCTAAGCAGCCTGTCGTCCAAACAGGGGAGGGCGAGAGAGGAGCTCTAAAGGCCACGCAGCAGGGACATCGGTCATGCCTGCCTGGCCTGGCTTAGCCCAGGGCGAAAAGTTGCCGCGAGCAAAATTGGGACCTCGCGTGCCTGCCTTGGGTTGCTCTTCTTGCTTCTCGTCGGTGCGGCCGCTGGCAGACGACGCTTGCTGGCTTGGCTTGGCTGCAGGACGACGGCGAGCGACATCTGTGCCAACTTGTCTCCCTCTGGCTCTGCCTCGTTCCTCGTCGTCGCCGTCGTCGTCGTCTCTTCTGGCCTGGCCGCGCGTTGCGTCCACCGTCCAAAGGCCGTTGGGCACAATACGAGATCAAAAGGGGCAGGCAGGCAGGCAGGCAGGCCTGGGGCGGTCGGACGATCGCAAGACCCTTGTCCTGTTCTGGTACGGTACGCGGGTGCTGCCATCCGCACGCTGCTGTGGTACGGTACGCCATGGCACGGCACGGTACCGGAACGACGACAACAACGACAGCAGCAGCAGCAGCAGCAGCAAGCAAGACAGACGACGAGCCGGTCGGCGGGGCGACAAAAGCCAGAGACAAAGGGCGAGATGGAGAGTGGCCGACGACTCATGCCAGCCAGCCGTGCTGCCAATAAATATTCGCGCCGCGCTGCGTTGCGCCAACTCAGAGGCCGCTGTAGGTCGTGATGGACGCGGCCATCGGCGAGAGGGGAGTGAGGGGACCAAAAGACAAAAAGCAAAGGCTTGGCAGGCCGACGTGGGCGCGCCGGTGATGGCCGTCGGCAGCCAAGCTGGGCTGGCAAAGTGGAGGTTGGGCGCCTGCGCTTCCGATTCGGGCTGCCTTAACTTGCTTGCTTGCTTCCCTCCTAGCCTGCCTGCCCGCCCTCGAGCTTTGCTTCCACACGCGAACTTCGGCAACGGCTCCAACGCGCGGCGGCCCCCAACCAGCATAGCCGGCCCCGCCTGCCTGCCTGCCTGCCTGCCTGCCTGCCTCCGTTCCGAGCGCCCGGCTGCCAAAGCCATCGAGCCGATTGGACTCTGGAATCTCAGTCGCTGCCCCCGATATCGGCCCGATAACAGGCCAGGCACCGACGTCGGACCCTCGTCATCGGCAAAGCCAGGCAAGGTACGTACGCAGCGTGGCTCGAGACAAGCACTGCGGCGTGACGGGGAGATGATGCTCCATCCGCAGCGCAGCCTCCTCCAAGGGCTGCATGGATCGACGAGCGACTATTCGCCGTACGACGAGGTGCTTGCGTTACGCTCCGTCGGCCTGCGTGCATGGACAAAGCCGCTCACGCCATCGCACGGCCGTAACGAAGTCGCTGGGCGGAACGACGTGACGAGGTGGCGCGCCCGCCCGCACCATAGCAAAGCGGCGCGCGCAGCCGCTCTTTCTTTTGCGGGCAAAAGCGTGCGCAGACACGGCACCGCAACCAGGGCACGTACGGCACGCAGGCGGATGGAGCGCATCGCCGTCGTTTGGCCGCTCGGCGTGGGAGTCAGCAACCGGCCACTCGCTTCGGTCGTCGTTTGTACATACGGTACCACATCGTGCTGGTGTCGTACCGTACCGCAACAACGAGGCTGCTGTTGGGCTCGAGGGCGGAAGGCGACTGGATCCGATGTGGTACCTGACAGCTCAATGGGCACCCGACGCTGTGGTACGTACCTCGGGCAACGAGAGCGGACACGGCATGGCGTGCATGCCATGGTAGACGAGAGCCGAAGCGCCAAGAGGCGGGCGGGCCAGCACGGGCCGAGAGGATGGGCGGTAGATGGAGGCTAGTGTAGGCAGAGGGGAGATCCAGCCAAGCCAAGGGGGACGCACGCTGGCTCGGAGCAAGGATGCATCCTTCGATGGAGGCGGGCCGTCGTCATAGGGATCGGCGAGGTCGTGGGTGGCCGTCACGGGCTTGGCTGGGCTGAGCGGAGCTGGGGTCGAATTCCAGCAGAAAAACGACGTCGTCGATCCCCTGGCTCAAACTTGCAGCGAAAAAAGGCCAGGCCGAGCCTTAAACGGGCCACGCCGCTGCGATTTTAGACTCTGCGGAAATTAAAGCTCCTCTTCGTCGTTGCGCGTCCGTCGGTCGGTCTTGCTCTTGTCCCGTTCGGGTCGGCATGAGTGCGCGCGCGCGCCTCGTTCTGCTGAGATCGCATCGCATCGTATCGCCTGGCCAGCATGACATGCCGCCTCGTCGTCGTCATCGTCGTCAACGCTCGCCGTCGACGTGTCGTTTCCTGACGAGCAACAACCGGCTTCGCTCCGAGACGGCCACAGGATCGCCGTGCGTGCAGCCTCGCCTGGCAACCTCGAGCAGAAGACGAGGACGACACCGCATCGAGACAGGCAGGTTGACGTTGTCTCGACGCCGACCTTGGCCTTCTTCCGCTTTCGTCAGGGCCAGAACCCAGACGAGCGTACAGGCGCGGATCTCACTCTTCCGACCAGATCCCGCTCGCCGGTACCACCACCATGCAAAGGCGCGGCAAGCTCTACCATGTGATTTTCTCTCTTCCCCATCTCTACGCTGGCTGGGCACGCGGTCACCGGCTGACGGCGCTCGACGGCCGCCTCTAGAGCTTCGAGGTGGGCAGGCCCTGGCGCCTGACGACCTCCTCGATCTCGGCGTACTGCTTGTACTCCTCCAAGCTCTGCGGGTTGGCCGTGGCCTGTGGAGGATCGCATCAAAGTCGCAGAAGGGGGTCAAAACGTCCGGCCGAGCTGTCGTCAGCGGCGGCTTGGGGAGGGATCCCCGCTACTTCGGGCATCCCACGAACGCTTTGGGCGACTCACGCTGCTCGGCTTGAACCTCGTGTCGCCGCACACGATGGCCTTGACGGCCAGCTCCGTCTTTTTGCCGTTGAGCGTGAGCGGGATGTCGCGCACCTCAAAGATAAACGCGGGCACGTGGCGCGCAGAGTAGGCCACCTTGATGGCCTGCTTGATCTCGCCCTGCTGCGACGGCGTCAGGTGCGTGCCCGGGTCGCGCATCTTGATGAACAGCAGCACGCGCTCGTGCTCGTCGCGACCCGGTCGCCGCTGGCCCACCACGATGCTATCGCCGACAAAGGGAAACTTTTCCACGACGGTGTAGATTTCGGCCGACCCGAAGCGCACGCCGCTCTGCCGGTCGATGGACGGGCCAAGGGGGAGCCACGGAGCGAGGGGAAAGGGATGGGTTTGTCGCCTGTCAGCACAGACGTCGCACGCCACTGGCACGACAGCGCAACGACTCACGGGGTTGAGGACGCCGTCGCTGCGGCCGTGGATCTCAAAGCCACCCGTCGCAGTGTCGCGCGAGATAAAGTCGCCCTGCGCCCACACCTTCTTGCCCTCGAAGCGGTTGTAGTACGAGTCCATGTACTTCTGGTGCAGCGCCTCCTTCTGATCATCGGGCCCGAAAAAGCCGACCTGCAGAGGCGTGAATCCAGGATCGGCGACTGTCAGCTCTCCCTTCTGGCCCTGGAGTCACAGCGGGTTCGGCCGCGCGGGACTCACCGGCTGCGTCGGAAAGGGCGAGGCGATGATGAGCTCGCCTGCCTCGCCGCTCTTTTCGATGTTCTCGCCCGTCACGGCGTCCCAGATCTGCAGGTCCATACCCAGGTGCTTGCACTGGATCAAATTGCCGTACAGCGGCAGGCACGGCGACGGTCCGCAGATGACGGCGGCCAGGTCGGTGCCGCCCGAGATCGACGAGAGGTGGGCGCGCGCCGGGAAGTTGTCGTAGAAGAACTTGACGTTGTTGACCGACAGCGGCGAGCCGGTCGACGTCATGAAGCGCAGCTTGGACAGGTCGAGGTCGCGGCGCGGCACCACGTCGACCGACTTGGCGTGCTTCTCGAGCTCGCTCAGGTAGCGCGGGCTCGCGCCGAAGCCGGCCAGCTTGAGCTCGCTCGTCAGCCGGACAATGTGCAGCGCGTCCGGGTAGAGCGGCGAGCCGTCGTAGGTGACGACCGACGCCCCAGCGCTCAGGGCGACGTAGTGGTAGATCCACATGATCCAGCTGCGAGGGAGGTGGAAGTGTGGTTCGGCGTGCATCACTGCGGTCAGTCTCGAAGAGGCCGGTGGATCCTGCTCGCTCGACGCCAAGGCCAAGGGTTTCGCCGCTCGAGCCAGACCGGACCGGACCGGACCCAACTCACCCGCACGTAGTCACCTGGAGGAACGTGTCGTTGCCCTTGAGATCGTAGTGCAGCATCGCCTCCTTCTTGGCGCTCAGCAGGACGTTCTGCGAGTGGACGATGCACTTGGGCTCTCCCGTGGTCCCGCTCGAGAAAAAGATCTGAATGGGGCGCGCAGCGGGCAGCTGCTCGAAGCGGTGGGGCGGCGACGAGGTGGCCTCGTCGAGACCGACCGACCTGATAAAGTCGCCCAGGTCGGTGGCCTTGATCTTGGAGCTCTTCCACCTCGGCCGGTCCTCGAGCCGGTCGTTGCGCACGATGACGACCTCAAAGGTGCTGGGCTCGTCGAGCTTGCCCTCGTCTGCCAGCCGTTCGGCGACGTCGGCGACGCGGTCGGCGACGTTGACCACCTTGCCATTGTAGATGACGGCGTCGTCGGTGAGGATGAGCTTGGGGCGGATCTGCGACAGGCGGCCGAAGATGGCGTCCGGGCCCGAGTCGGTGGCGATGAGCGAGTAGATGGCGCCGACGGCGTTGGCGGCGAGGCCCGTGACGATGGGCGACACCGAGTTGGCGCTGACATGGGCGAGGCGGTCGCCCACCTTGACGCCCTTCCTGCGCAGCGTCTCTGCCATGACGGCGACGCGGCGCCGCAGCTCGCCCCAGCTGACCTTTCTGGCCTGGAGGTGGGGCGGCGAGTCGCGCAGTCCGCCGCCCTCGGGCACATCGTAGATGACGGTCTTGTTTACGTCGGGCCAGCTCGTCGGCGCTCCTCGCGAGCAGGCGGTGTTGTTGCCGGGATGCTGCGGGAAGAGGAGGTTCTCTGCGAGGTTGAAGCGGGCGCCCTCGAACCAGTCGGGCAGGTCGCCGGGCAGCGCCTTTGGGTCCGAGATGATCCTGTCGTACTTGCGGCTGGCGCGGATGCCGACAAAGTCCCAGACCGTGGCCCAAAAGTCCTCGAGGCGGTCGATGGAGAAGGCGTGGACCTGCTCGTAGGTCTCGAGGCTGAGGCCGTGCTTGCGGTTGACGAGCTTGCGGAACTTTTCATAGCTCGAGCCCGCCAGCTCGTCGGCGTCGGGCTTCCAGACGAGCGGCTGGGGTGCGTGCGGCGCCATTCCGTTGCGTAGTCGTTAGGCGGAATGCGGCGGCGTCTAATTGGGCAGAAGAGAGGTCGGGATGGAGGATGTTTGGTGTGTGTGAGAGAGACAGAGAGAGAGAGGAGGAGGAGAGGTTGCGCGCATAGCAGGGTCGAAGGGGGGGGTCGGGCCACCCTGCCGGCTTCCCCGCATTTCTTGGTGGACTTGCGTCGGCCGTCGGCAACCGACGTTTTGCCGGCCCGCCAGCCCGCGACGTCCGCCCGGAGCGGTCTGGCCATCGGCGATTCCAACCCGATTAGCGAGAGCTGCCCCGATGAGAAATGACGCCAGCCAAGTCAGCCACGCGGCCGATGCTCGGGCTGTGTGGAGCAAGCTGGCCTGCCGGCTCAGCGTGGGGGCCGCCAAGGGGCTCTCTCTGGCCACGCCAGACCTCGACCACCACCACTTCCTTGTCCCAACATACTCTCTCCCTTGCTCTGGCTCGCTCCTCGCTCCTCGCTCCGTCCAGACAACCGCACAAGGCCGCTCAAAGATAGAAGAAGACCCCCCCCCGCTGCCGCCGCCTCCATGATTGTCCTGGCCCTCGTCGCGAGGGGGTCCGAGATCCTCGCCCAGGTGCACGATGACGAGCACCAGCGCTTCCTCACGGCGGCCGAGACGATCCTGTCGCGCATCCCGCCCAACTCGTCGAAGCTGTCGTACGCCTTCGAGGATTGGCTCTTCCACTACGTCTCGCACGACGGCCTCGTCTACCTCGCCGTCGCCGACACCGAGACGGGCCGACGCATGCCCTTCGCCTTCCTCTCCGAGGTGCAGAAAAAGTTCCTCGCCACTTTCGACCGAGGCCTCGCCGTGCAGCCCTCGACGCCCGCAGAGACGTTCGAATCGTTCCACGGCACGCTCGCCGCGCTCGTCGACCAGTTCAACCGCGACCCGGACGCCGACCCCGTCAAGGCGGCCAAGGCCGAGCTCGCCGGCGTCAAGGACATCATGACCCAGAACGTAGAGCAGATCCTGTCGCGTGGCGAGAGGATCGAGCTGCTCATGGACAGGACCGACATGGCCGCCAACCAGTCGATGGCCTTCCGAAGGCGCGCCGTCGGCCTTCGGCGCCAGATGTGGTGGAAGAACGTCAAGATCATGGCCCTCGCAGGGGTGTGCGCAGTGGTGAGTGGGCCAGCCAGGCTTGACGTTGTCGCTTTCGAGCCGTTGGCCAGCAAGGATGCGCCGCTGACGAATGGCCCGCACTATGCCTTTCTGCCCCTCGCAGACCCTCATGTTCATCCTCTTCGCCATGTTCTCCCACTAGCGCGCCTGCCGCCCCGCCGCCCAGGTCCTCGGCCCCCTGTCCCTTCAACCACATACCCCTGGCGCGCGGCGTCCTCGAGCTCCTTCAGGTCACCATGCCGCTCCCTCGACGTGGGACCGACGAGCTTGATCGCTGCGCGCATAGACCTCCGATCCCGATCTCTCGCAATCTAGAACAACGTCGCTGGCGCGCCCTGGCCCAAGCTTCGCGGTTCGTCTCTTTGTGGCCGCATCGCTGCGTTGGCACGGCTCGGCCCTAAGCAAGATTCTATCGTCATGACAGCGTGCAGTCGTGTGGTCGGTATCGCGGGCAGCATCGCCTCACTCCGGCCTCAGATCAGGTTGCGGCCGTCCCTGGGCACGGGCGCGCCCGCCGACCACGCGCCCTTGCTGACGGCGTTGAGCGAGGAGTACTGGACGCCCACCTGGCCCGCCTTGTCCTTGCCTCCGCGCGCCCTCGTGATGGCCTCGACCTGGCTGGGCCACAGGGCGGCGAGGATCATGTCGAGGCGGGGCGTGTCGACGTTGTGCAGCCTGGCCTTTTCGACGACGGCGCCGATGATGGGGTAGAGCTCCATCGGCCTGCCGTTTTCGAGGTCGAGGAGGATCGAGGGCTTGAAATCGCCCGACAGGTTGCTCTGGATGTCGGCGAACTGGGCCACGTGAGCCGAGTTGCCCGTAATCTCAAAGGCGGCGTCGACGGCAGCGGCCGGGAACCGGTCCTCGCCGATGCCGCAGGCGCGGGCGACAAAGAGGATCTCGAGCATCGTCCTGCGCACCACGCCCACCGTGTGGTGCAGCGTCGACTCGGTAATCATGGCCGCCACGGGCTGGCGCGCCAGGCTGCACAGGCCGCCCCAGCCGGCGTTCCACAGCACCTTCTTCCAGCGCACCGCCTCGATGTCGTCCGACAGCAGCCCGCCGCCGCCGCCCCGCTTGTACAGGCCAAAGAAGTGGTCCAGGCTCGCCTGCTCTTGCTGCGGTGCGTGCAAGTATCGAGGGAGAGGAAGGGTTGTTCGATATCATCAGCGCCGTCGGTAGAGGCAGGTCTCCGGGGGCGGTCAGGACACACTCACGTCGCTGGGGATGCGGATGCCGTTGTCAGTGGTCGGCGCATCGAGGCTGGCAAACACGCCCATCTCGAGCTTCTCCTGCAGATGTGCAAGGCCGGCCAGAGGAGGGTCGGAGTACAGGGTAATCAGCCTGTCGGTCTACAGCGCAGGAAGCGCCCATCTCGGCCGCCCGCTCACCAGGCTGCCGTACTCGACGACGGTGCCGTTCTCTTTCAGGTTGGCGCCGATCCAGGCCACGGCGCTGATGATGCCCTTGGCCACGGGCTCGGCGCAGTCGACGAGCGACGTTCGCACCTCGGCCTCGATGCCGATGCCGTTCTGCACCGTCACGATGGTGGGGAGCCTGCTGCGCTCCTCGTCGTTGGACGGCTTGCGCAGGAAGGGACGGATGATCTCCGAAGTCGGCGTGAGGTCCGGTGTGCACTTGAAGGTACACACGACGTCTGAGGAGGGGTTCACCAAGGAAAGAGGGCGACACCCGACGGACGCGACGCGGTCAGGACCGGCCCGTTGTCATTCCGCAACGCCTCGCGGTAGGGAGCCGCTGAGCCCTACTCACAGTCAAAGAACTGATCCTGCACCTCCTCGGGGCCCCTGACGACCTTGTACGGCTTCCATCCCTCGACGCGGCCGACGATCGGGCTGTTGATGGTGATGCCGTCGCGGCTCATGGATTCGTAGTTGGAACGCGCCACGGCCGTGATCCGCGCGCCTCCGCGCTCGAGGATGTGGCCGTAGACAGTGCCCAGCGCGCCCGAGCCGATGCAGAGGATGTCGATGGTGTCGCTGCTCATCGTGTTTGGGCCTCGCCTGTGCGATGATGCGGGTCAGCAGCGAGAAGGGTTGTGCGGGTGGTAGGTTTGGTTTGGGTGGTTGAAGATGGCTCGAGGGGGGTTCTTCCGCCGTTCCGCGCCTTATATCGAGCGTCTCTAGGTGAGCTGTAGGCAAGGACAGACTGCTACTTGGTGCGACAAGGCCGGCCGCCGGTTCGAGGCGGAAGCGCAGATTGGCTCAGGCCAAATTGAGGCGGGTCAGGAGGGGGGACGGGGGTGAACGTGCACCCGCGCGAGCACTAGGTGTGTCGACGAAACCCAAACCGGCTGCGCAGGGGGGTGCGTGCGCTGGTGCGGGCCGATGATGTGCGACTACGTGGCGTACGTGCGAGCCAGGTTCCGCTCCGAAGCGGCGTCGATGAGGGGCCGATTGAGTTGCAACCAGGCCGAAAGAGGTCGGACCGGGGCGCAATATCGTCTTGTTCGTGCCGGGCTAGGGCGTATCAGTAAGTGCGTGTGCGATGAGCGGGGCGGCGCAGTAGGTGGCGTAGTTGGGGCGTAGTACGTGTGTCGGACGCAAGCGAAGCGCAGCAAGCTGAGGCTCGTGCCCGTGGTTGTGGTCGTGGTTGTGATCGTGATCGTGGTCGGTCGAGGAGGATGGGGTGGTAGGGCAACACGGGACGAGGGATCCCCGCACCACTTGATGGCCAGACCTGAGCCTGTTTCGGCCCGCGCGTGGCCCCGCGCCCCGTCAAAGTGCAAATCTTCCGACCACGAGGCGGCGCGGCCCGGTCATTAGCCGGTCTTGCAGCCGGCCAACAAGCAGGTTAGGCAGACCAGGTCAGGCAGGCCCACCCAAAATGCAGACAAAAATCCGCGTCAAAAGTCGCATCACTTCACTTCGCGCGGGGGTCGAGCAGCTCGACTCCCTCCAGCTTGGCCTCATCGACAGCCAGCGGGGCATCAGGACGTGTGGGCGATCAACCAAAGCGGTGAAGACAGTGTGCAAGGCAGTGCAGGGAAGAGATCTCGTACGCCGGCATCGTCGCCCCTAGAACTCGACGTTGCTCACCGCCTCGAGCAGGCTCAGGATGGCCGATGCCTGTTCCGCCTCGAGCTTGTCCTTTGCCATCTGCTGCCGCTCGTCGGGAAAGACCGAGGATCCGTCCTTGGTAGACTGCTGCGCCGCCGCCACCGCTGCCGCCGCCAGCTTCTGGCCCTTTCTGTCGCTCTTCTGGCGCAGCGCCTCCGACGTGGTGCACAGCGGTCGCTTGGCAAACCAGGCGGCGAGCAGCAGCGACGCCCTCTGCGCGGCGGTGAACTCGGCCTCGGCTGTCGGCTCGCCACCTTCCTCCTGCGCCTTTGCATCAGACTGACCGGGCTCGTCCTGCCGCTGTGCGCCATTGATGCTCTCGGCACCGGTGTCGGCACCGGCATCGGCAGGGCTCCTGTGGGCCTTGGCCGACCTTGCTGCCGACGCCCTGCCGCGGGGCACGCCGAAAGCCGCCAGCCAGTCGCCGGGGACGATGCTGCGTGTCGCCTTGAGCACCGCGACAGCGGCCGGATCGTCGGGCCCGTCCCTCGCACCCTTCGACGTGGATCTGGCCTGCGGAGAATACTTCTTGCAGACCGCAGCGGCAGCGACCGGCTTGCCCGACATCTTGGCGTGCCATCTCGCCACGTGCAAGACCGTCGAGCCGGGTTGGAGGTGCAGGGCTCGGCCAAGGTTGGTCACCTCGACGAGGTTCCCGGCGGCGCGTCCCGAGTTGTCCTCGCTCGCGCGTGCGTCGACGGAGCGGACCAGTCGCAGGCCTTCCAGCTCGTCCAGCAGCGAGTCGACGCAGCGCGACAGCCGGGCCGAGGCGGCATCCGGACCGGTGCCCTGGACGTCGTAGTAGGACGGGTTGCGCTGCGCCTCGATTGCGACAAACGTCCAGGTGAGGAGCGAGAGCATGTCGGTCCGCGAGACGGCGGCGCCGGCCACGATCTCCTGCAGCAGGTAGGGCAACAGCACCTTGGCGTCGTCGTCGAGCAGGCTCGACTGGAGCGGCAGGCCAGACGGCAGCAGACGCTCCAGCAGCGCCGCCTTGTCGCTCTGGCAGAGAACCAGCATCTCGCCCGAGGGGCTCGGCGTAGACGGCGTCCCCGGTCGCACCGCGTGCGCCTGCATCCGCACCAGCTCCGGCATCGAGTAGTCGACCACCTCGCGGTCCGAGATCGACGTCTGCCCGCGCACCTTTGTCAGGCGGACGTACTGGGTGCTCATCACGATGACCAGGTGGGCCCGCGCGGGCAGCGTCCAGCAGCTCTCGCGCGACGCGACCAGCACTTTGATGATGCCCTGCTCAAAGAGCTGCAGCACCGACGCGCGGTCCTGCGGCGCCAGCCCGTCGTGGACGACGCCAAAGCCGTGCATCAGGGCTTCGTGGAGCGAGTGGTCGCGGATCGACCCTAGCACCGACTCGAGGTCGTGCGACGGCACGCTGATAAAGGCCTCGGTGTCGAGCTCAGAGGCGCAGCGCGTGACGAGGTCCGAGGCGACGCCGAGGCACTGGCCGTGCGACGGCACAAAGATGATGGTGGGCCCGTGCATCGCCGTCTCCTTCATCTTGTCGTAGGCCGGCTTGACCATCGTCTTGAGCAGGCCGGCCGAGTGCGGCAGGTCAAACGTCCGGAACGACATGCCGAGCGAGCTGGGGCGATCGCGAGGGTCGAAGCTGTACCTTGCCGCCTCCTTGACGCCGAGCCATTCGGCCAGGCTGCCCGCATCGTCGAGGCTCGCGCTGGTGCCGACGAGGCGGACCGGGGCGCCGCACAACGAGCTGGCCCACAGCGTGCGGGAAATGACGAGTTCGTAGGTGGCGTCGAGGAGGTGCAGGTCCTCGGCAATGACGAGCGAGACGCGCTCCAGCAGCTTTGGCCCGCTCGACGAGAGCGCCCGCAGCCAGGGCAGCGGTGCTGCAAAGATGACCCTGTCGCGCTTGCCGCCCGAAAGAGCCTTTTGCAGCGACGTCGAGGACATCGCCCGCACCACGTCGACATCCCTCTGGCGGGCGATGGCGGCCGAGGTACCGCGCAGCGCAGCCTCGACCAGCTCGCGTCGCGGATAGAGGACGAGCACCGCCTTGCCGGGCGTCTCGCGCATCGCGCGCCACGCCGCAAAGAAGGCCACCGTCGACTTGCCCGAGGCCGAGGGCGCGCACAGCAGCGCGTTGGCCTTGGTGTGGGCGATTGTGTGGAACGACTGCGTCTGCAGCGCGTTGAAGCCCGACATGTGCTGGGCGTAGAGGGTGCGGAGCAGCTCGTCGGGCACCGCCGACGAGACGGGCAGCAGCGGCAGGTCGAGCAGCTGCTGGTGCTTGGCCGGCCTCGGCGGCATGGCGAGGTCGTCGAACGGCACCCATACCGTGTCCTCGGCGCCGATCCACCGGTCCGAGATCCACCGCACGCTGATGCCGCTCGGCTGCGGGTCCGGCACCGGCACAGTGAAGGAGAGCGCCGAGTAGGCCGCCTCGGTCGGCCGCACCACGTGCATGGCCCATTGCAGGATGTCGACCTCGTTCTCGTCCTCGACCCACACGTAGAAGGCCTCGGACCGGCCGTGCAGGCGCTCGTTCCACTCAAAGCGGCGACGGATGCGCAGGTCGATCCGGAGGAGGCCGTGCGTGAGCGGGCGCAGCGCCGCCTCGAGCTCGAGGGTGGGGAAGGATCGGGCCGCGCTGCGGATCGCGCTGCCCATGCGCTCGTTGAGGTGGACGAGCCTGCCGACCTCGTTGGCCGACATCTCGGCCAGCTCGGCCACCTCGACCTCGTCGGCCCAGCGGGTGAGGTTGTAGAGGGTGTCGGGCGTCAGGTGGCTCTGCGACAGCGGGTGGTCGAACGGCCACATCCTGCGCTCGATGGCCTTGCTCATGGCCATCAGCGCCGCCGTCGTCGGCGCCCACTTGTTGCTCAGCGCGATCTCGAGCAGCGACCGGATGATGCGGCCGGCGTTCTGGGCGACGTAGGCCGAGTCCGAGACCAGCGCGAAGTCCTCGACGTAGGTGCGCGAGATGTAGGCCTGGAGCAGGATGTTGACCTTGCCGGGCGACGTCTCGATGCCGCCGGGCACCTGGCAGGGCGCGTTCTCGAGCATCTTCTTCAGCTCGCGCTCCTCGGTGTCGCGCGGGATGATCTGCTCAAAGTCGGTGGCGAGGCTGAGGATGCCGAGCACGTCGGCCTCGCTCATCCGCGGCCGGAGCTTCTCGTTGAACACCTCGATGGTGCGGTGGCCGACGTAGTACTTGGCCGCCACCCGGCCCATTTCGGTGACCTCGAGGTGGCCCGTGGTGGCGTCGTGCTTGAGCATCTTGGCCTCGACCAACTTCTTTGCGGCCGACGTGATGAGCTGGAGGCGCTTGGCGCCGAGGTGCGGGTCGTCCTCGACCTCGGCGTGGACCATGCCGTAGGTCAGCGGCGTCCGCTTCATCCGCGTGAAGAGGTAGGTGTAGCCGAGCCAGGACACGCCGTCGCGCACGCTGGTCACGGTGCCCAGCGACACCTCGGCGTTGAGCGAGTCGACGAGGCCGCCGATGAACTTGGACTCGATCGGGTGCTGCGACGTGATGGCGTCGACGTAGTGCGACAGGCGGTCCTGCGAGGTGCAGATGAAGCCGACGCCGAGGTCCTCGTACTGGGGACGACCGGCTCGGCCAAAGATCTGCAGCACGTCGAGGATCGACAGGTCGACAAACTTGCCCGCCGACGAGTCGTAGACGTCGGTGCCCTTGATGATGACGGCGTACGCGGGCAGGTTGACGCCCCAGGCCAGCGTCGCCGTGCAGCAGAGGACGCGGGTGACGCCGGTCTCAAAGAGCCGCTCGCTGACGTTGCGGTCGCTGCGCAGCATGCCGGCGTGGTGGATGCCGAAGCCGGTCTCGTAGAGCTCCTTCATCTCCTTGTTGCGGCTCGCCTGCAGCTCCTTGCCAAACGAGGCCAGCTTGGGATTGTCGTCGCGCCCCGCCGTCAGGTGGTCGAGGAGGCCCTCGTCCTTGAACATGTCGCGCAGCGTCTGCGCCGTCTTGACCGTCTCCTTGCGCGCATGGACAAACACCATGACCTGGTGGCCCGCCTGGACGAGCTCCGAGACCTTTTCGAACGCCGCCTTGTCGAGGTTGGCGCGCGCCTGGGGCGAGCCGGATTTGCCCTTGACGCCGATAAAGTGCTGCTCGAGGGGCACGGGCCGGAAGGACGAGTCGAAGTAGAAGAGGCCCTGGTAGCGGTTGACGCGGAGGAAGTCGGCCACGTCGACGTAGTTGGGCAGCGTGGCCGAGAGGCCGACGATGCGGATGAGCGACTGGCTCGACTCGACCAGGCGCAGCGTGCGCGCCACAATCGTCTCGATGACGGCGCCGCGCTCCTCGTGCAGCAGGTGCACCTCGTCGATGATGAGCAGCCGCACCTTTGTGGCCAGCTCGCCGTCGCCCGTGGGCTTCCGCGTCACGACGTCCCACTTTTCGGGCGTCGTGACAATCATCTGCGTCTCGTTGATCTCCTTGCGCGTCAGCTGCATGTCTCCGGTCAGCTCGCGCACCTTGATGCCGAGGTACTGGAGCCGCTTGCTGAACTTGCGCACCACCTCGGCGGCCAGCGCCTTCATCGGCGCTACGTAGACAATCTTGAACTCGTCGCGCGCGATGCCGAAGCCGTCGGCGCCGCGGCCGGCCACCGGGTCGATGCTCTGGGCGTACTGGCTGATGGCGCGCAGCACCGTCAGCATCGCCACGTCGGTCTTGCCGGCACCGGTGGGCGCGCAGACGAGGAGGTTCTCGTTGGTGCGGTAGGCCAGCGGATAGACGACGCTCTGGAGGCGGTTGAGGGTCTTGTAGCCGGGGAACGCGCCCTTGGACAGCGTGTCCATCTCGCCGATCGGGATCAGGCGCTCGTCGATGCGGAACGGCACGTTGCGGGGCGGCGGGATGGTGACCTCCTCGTAGAACGACTGCTCGACGCGCGTGGTGCCGGCGGGCAGCGCGAACCTCTGGCCAAACACCGACAGCACGTTGCCGTGAGCGCCCGACGAAAAGACGTGCGGGTAGCGGGGCTCGTCCGAGGTGACCTGGTCGCTGGAGAACAGCGGGCGGCTGGCCGCTGCCGCGAGGCTCTCCTCGCGCATCTGCTCGAGCTCCTCGAGGGTGTAGGCCCGGTCGTGCGCCGCAGCAGCCGACGAGGGATCGGCGTCGCGGCCGCGGTTTGCCCTGCGCATCTCGTTGCGCAGCTTCTTGGCGAGCCGCTTGTCCTCCTGGCTCTGCACCACGACCTGAGAGCCGGGAGTGTAGGGCTTGGCTGCAACGGCGCGGAGACCCGCCTGGTGCTGATGCGGGGCGTGTCCGGAAGCCAGTGTGACCCGTCGTTCGCCGTCGCGATGTCGATCGGCGCCGTGGGCAAGGTCCGACAGGATGGCCTCACGCTGCGAGACGAGTGCGCTGACCAGGTCGAGCTGGTCGAAGCCGAGGACCTCGGCGAGCTCGGCCGAGGCCTCTTCGGCGGAGCCCTTGGAGGCGAGGGCGGCCATGACGCTGCTCCGTATGCTGGTGGCGATGGCCGGATCGTCGCTAAAGGTGCGAGCCAGGTAGTCGTCGAGCTGGGCCTGGGCGGCCGAGGAGGGCTGCGAGGCTGCTCGGAAGGCGTGGTCCTCGATCTCGTCGGGGTACGAGTCGATGGCCGACTGGCCTGCTTCGCGCTCTCCCTGCTCGGCTTCGGTGTGGGCTTGCAGCTGTGACCACAGATCGTCGCCGCCGGCCGCAAGGTGTCCGCGTACCGGCGCGGGGGCGGCATGCTTCTGGCCATCGTCCTGGAGTTTCTGGAGAGAGGCGTAGATGGAGTCGATGAGGTGCTGGTCATAGTCGAGCGTGCGATGGGATCCCGATGGCTTGGCCAGAAGCTCCTCGAGGTGTGCGCCCAGGGGGATCGGAATGGCGGCCATGGCAGCGCGATCCGGCGAACGGCGAGAGGTGTCGTCGAGATCGTAGTCTTGGTCCTCGGTAAATGTAGCGGCGGTGGCGGCGGCGGTGGCGATGATGGGCGCTTCGAGGGTTTTGCTACGTTGCAGCTGGTGGCACCTGGAAGCGGTGCAAACAGATGCGGCGGGGTCAGTGATGGCGGCGACGGTGGTAGGTGGCGGCAGGCAGGCCGAGGAAGAAGAAGCAGCGACTTGGGCTGGCTCGACCGCTGCAAAGAAGGCTCAGCCAAGGAGGTCATCGCCCGACGCCGGCGGCTGAGCGGCGGATCGCAGGCCGATGGACGCCCGATGTGACTTTGCCAGGTTCGCGTTCAGACCTCCACATGCTCAGCTGTCGATCTGTTGGATTTCGATTTTTCGCGCGCTGTGCCTGCGCCTGTTGCTCTCGGGTTTGGGTCGCTCTTTGGCCCGCGGGTCGGCGCGTCGAAGCCCGTTTGGAGATGGAAAACGACGTCAGCTCCCTGGCCGACGCCAGCCATCAACCAACGGCGGCCAAGAAGGAGAGCGATGATGGCGCAGAGCGGCCAGGAGCAGCAGCGCAACCATCCTACCTGGTTGTCGAGAGTCGTGCCGCACTTGTGACCAGCTGAGAGGCATTCAGGCCCAACCCTCCGCCAGCAAAGAGCCTCCCAGCGGCAAGGCAGGCCGGGCCGATGGCGTTGAGCCAGGCAGGCTAGGATCGATTGAGACGAGGCTCGCGCTGGTCCGTGTGCACCTGCAGCTGGCATGGTGACGATCTGATGATGGTGCCAGCCGGTCTGCCTGGCCGCCTGGCCGCCTGGCTGCCCGGCTGTGCGCCATCTGCTGCTGGCTGGCCGATGCGAATTTCAAAGCAAGCACCTCGAGAGCGAGGCCCACGGAAAAAGAGCGAGCGGGTTGAGCAGGCGTGGGTCGGCGCGTGTCTGCCCAAGAAGTCGCGTCGGGCCCGGCCAGGCCTGCCTGCACTTTGTCTAGAAGGCAGCCAGGCGGGAAGCCAACCGACCGACCGACCAGCACGCCAGGCCCCGCCACGGGAAATTCAAGATTGTCAGATCGGGCAAGCGGGCGAGCGACAGACAGACAGACAGACGAGGCCCAGCCCGGACGTGGCCACGGCGTCGCCTGCCTGGCTGGCTGCCTGCCTGGCTGCCTTGAGGCTGCCTTTTGGGTGACGCCAGGCCAGGCCAGCCAGGCTCGACCACCGCGACTCGCTCCTCAAAGCCGGCCACAGAGGACAGCCTCGCGATTCTTGTGGCACCCTTCCTGCCTGCCCTCCGACTATCCCACCCCCCTCTACCTACCTTGCTACCCTCCTCTTCCACGTCGGTCCCCATCCTATCCCCACGTCTCGCCTCGCCTTCCCTCCTCTTAGCCCTCTCTCGTGCCGCGCCGTCCAACCTTCCCTCTCTGCTTCCTATCTATCCCCTGCTATCCCCTGCGCTACCCTACCCCTTCCCACCACAACTTCGACGGCGCACGGCACGTTCAAGAGCGAGGGCAGCGCCGCGCAACGAGCACACGCTGCTCGCCACGTCGGCACGTCGGCACGGCACTCGTCAAGCCTCCGCCCAGCATCTGCGCCGCCCTCGAGACACCGCATCGCATCGCGCCGCGCCGCGCCACGCCACGTCTCGGCCACACCTCCCCGCTACGCGCTTTGCAGGCCAAGCAGCAGGCGGGCACGCTGACGCCGTCACATCCAGGCAACAGCGCCCAGCATGGACACCATCATGGAGACGCCCGATCGCGAGCGCGCCCTGCTCCAGCAACGTGCGGCATCGGCGTCGGCCGTGACCTCCTTTCCCGGACAGACGCCAGACAACCGCGAGCTCCTCTCGACCCACCCGCACCTCCAGCACCAGATCAAGAGCAGCCCCACCTCGGCCTCTTCCGACAGCTTCTCGTCCTACATCCACAAGGACGCCGCCATCATCCAGCACCGCTCCAGCTCGCCCCGCGCCGACTCGGGCTCCCAGGCTTCCGCAGACGGCCCAGGCGCGCCCGGCAGCCCCAGGTCCCGCGTCCAGGCCCGCCTCGACGCCGTCGCCCTCGATGGCCACCGCAGGCTTCCCTCGTTTGACTTTTCGCGCCCCATGCCCCCCATCCGCTCCGTCTCGGCCACAACGCCCATCCGCGGCGGCAACTTCCCCGCCGTCGTCGATCGGCGCTCGGCGCGCAGCCAGGAGTCGGTCGCCGTCGACGTCAGCCAGCTGCGCGAGCGGCCCCGCTCTCAGCCCGAGCCTTTCGCGCCCATGTCCATCAGCGCCCTCTACCATCAGCCAACCCACGAGGGCCTGTCGCAGTGGGAGCGCGAGGGTTCTGTGGCCTCGGTCGCCTTCACCGCCGACGGCAAGGACGACGACAAGCATGGTCAGAGGGACGATGCCGGCCGCGCCGGCGAGATCCGTAGAAGGCGCAGAACACGTCCGGACGAGGCCAACCTCCTCGTCCGGGCCTACGCCGACAACGCCTTTCCGAACCAGGAGACGCGACAGCAGCTGGCCGACCAGCTTGGCATGACCGTCCGGTGAGTATCAGTGCCTCTGTGGCGACCACACGTGACGCCCAAGTCCTTCAGCGCTGTGCTGACGCCCTCTCGCCATCGATGTTTCCACCTCGCCGGATCCTTGTGCAGCGCCGTCTCGGTATGGTTCCAGAACCGACGGCAAGCTGAGAAGAAACGGTCCGGGCGGTACGGCGGCTCCGGCATCCTCGGAGGTGGCGCCTCGGCCGCCGACCCTTCGGCCGATCTCAGCTCTTCCGCCACCGCTGCCACCAAGGCGGCCGGTTCCGAGCCGGAGTCGGTCGTAGCTCGACCGCCGCTGGCTTCGACGCCCAAAGATCCCAACAACCGGCCAGCCCGTGCATCGCTGCCGGAGCCGATCAAGTACACGCAAGCGAACAAAGAGAACGTCCCACCGTGGGCCGCCGCCACCGCCGCCTTGTCCCGAGGCGACGACGGCACACCTCTCAAGGTACCCAAGCTGGAGCCGCAGGACGACCTCCTCGGCAGCGAGCGGCCCGTGTCCGAAACGCCAGCTGCCTCCTCGCACCGTACGCGCGACCCGAGCGCTGCCGCCGACACCGTGTCTCGAAAGGCCGACACCCGGCAGAGGCCGGCATCACAGATGGACAGAGTCCTATCCAGGTCGTCGGCGACGCCGTCGGCAGTAGCCTCAACCGTCTCAACTGCAGCGCCTCGGAGCACGCATCAAGCGCTCTCCCGCGTGCGGTCGGCGCCGAGGCTGTCCCTGGACGAGGTGCTGGCCAGGCGCGCCTGCGGCCTGAGCCGCTCGGTGACTGAGTATGTGAGAACTCACGACCGGTCGAGCGACATCGAGGACGAGGTCGTCAGCACCATCCTACCTCCTCGGAAGGTCCTTTCGCGCGCCGGAAGCGCCTCGAGCCTCTCGCTCGTCACGACGGCCGGTGGCAGGGCCAGCCTCGGGAGCCCGGCGTCGCACGCGACCGAGAGCGCCGCTGCCGGCGACATCGCATCTCTCAACTCGAGGCTGCCTCCGGCCGTCACGGCCTCGCTCCAGCGCAACGGCGTCATCTCCAAGCTCAGCGAAGAGGAACACGCGGAGCAGCAGAAGGCTAAGCTGGTCTGGCAGCGGATGGAGAGCAGCAGCGCCAGCAGCAGCGATCCGGATCGCGCCCTCGCCGATGGCGGCGTCAACGGCCTAGCCCATCCCAAGGACAGCGAGGAAGACGAGGAGACGACGCTGCGCATCATCGCCAACCGGCGCGCTGCCAGGGCCCAGGCTCTCGGTCGCGGGAAGCCGGCCGCTGCCGACGCCGACGCCCGCACGGCGATCCAGCAGCATGCCACCGCGGCCTCGGATCGCAGCCACCAGCTCGCCTCGGCGCCCTCGCAGCTCGGGCTGGTGAAACGCGTGCCCAGCCTCGATTGGGCGGCGGGACGGGACCGATCCGTCACCCCCGCGCTCCCGCAGCGAACGGTGAGCAGCCCTCTCGCCCGCACCACTGCCCGCACCGCTTCGACGCACAAGTTTGCCTCTCCGGCCAAGCCCAGGCCTAAGGACCTGCAAAAGTCGGCGGCTCGACGGGCCTCTGCCCAGGCCAAAAAGGCTGCCGCTGCTGCGCCTGTCCGGCTGGCGCCCGCCATGTCGACGCCGCTGCGGAAGACCGGAGCGGCCGCCCAGCAGCAAGCGTCACGACCGGCCGTCGCCGTCACGCCTGCCCCCAACGGAGGCCGGACCAGCCCGCGAAAGAAGGCAGCTGGGGCCGCAGCCACGGCCACAGCCACGCCGCAGCAGCAGCCGCAGCACTTTCAGCAGCATGTCAACGACGAGAACGTCTTTGGCGGCGCGACTGTCCCGTCCCCGGCTTTCCGGTCCACGCCTGGCAGTCCGAAACGTCGCCGCGTCGAGCACGTGGCCCCGCCAGCGCCGAGCATCGAGACGGCCGCCGCGCCGCACCCGTCGGTCCGGACGGTCGACCGCGTGCTCGGCTCGCCGATGTTCGCGCCGCGAGGCATGATGCACCCGCACTCGTTCCCGGCGAGCTCGACGTACCTGTCGACGCCGCGGCCCCTGGGTTCGTCGCCGTTCAAGGGCCCGCTCTCCACTCGATCCGAGAGGATCGGCTACCGAGGCCTGGGAGCGGGCAGCCCGTCGGCAAGCCCGGCGCTGCGAGACTACGGATTCGAGCAGCCGCGCGTCCGCTCGTTTCAGTCGGCGCGCGAGTCGAGTGCCCGTGACCAGAGGCGGCCGCTGGCCGAGCGAGGCCCCTTTGATTCTCCGGCCGGCTCGCGCACGCCCTCGCACGACTCCAACGACAGCGGCGCCGCGTCCAACACGAGCGACGAGTGGGTGTCGAACCTGGCCAAGGCCGCCGTCGGGTCCGCCTCGGCCGCCACCTCGTCGACGCCTGCCGGCGGCGCTGGGTCGTCGACGGCCAAGGTGCTGTCGGCGACGCCCTCGCGCATCTTTGCGGACCGGAGCAGTGTGGCCAACCTGACCATGTCGGCCGAGCGCATGGGACCCTCGGCGAACCGGCACGACGACAGCGGATTTTTCGGCAGCGACGAGAGCGAGGACGAGCAGCCGGCGCCGGCTTCGGTCGTGGTGCGACAGAAGAAGACGGCGCTGTCGGCATCGGCGTCGCGGTGGGCAAAGTCGAGGAGCAGCCCCGTCGTGCCGCGCAAGCGCAAGGCGGGCGACGCGGCCGAGGACCAGCACGCCGCCGAGCTGCTCCTCGGTCTCGGCCAGCGTCACGAGGCCCAGTCGCAGTAGCTCAGCTAGCCTACCGCCTCGACCTCATCGCTGCGCGTGTCACCGCCCGCAGTGGCCGCATCCCAGCCATGATCGAACATCCACCTCGCCATCGCCCGTCCGGCCCCCATGAGAATTATACAGCGCTTTCGGAATCATATCCCTCATGGACTCGACGGATAGAGGCGAACGACGAGGATCGAGGGTGCATGTGCTTGCCTCCCCCCTGCTCTTCCTTCTGGAAGATGAGCGAGGAGGGGTGCAGACGAGGGGGCTAGTGTACAGATGCTGGCATGGCGGATGCGGATGCGAAGACGACGATGGCGGGCCGGTGACGAGAGAACGGAGCATGGCCGGCCGACGGTGGCGGCGGCGGCGGCAGGAGCGGGCGGAACGGCCTGCCTGACCCTCATGTCTTCACTGTTTGGAGGTGAGGCGGGAAAAGGCCAGATCCGAGGAGGGCAAGGGGACGTACGAAAGGTCAGTCGGATTGGCTCCGTCTGCATTGGACCAAGGTGCACATCGCGGCGTCGAGGCAGACGCCGAGGCCGAGGATGGACGAGAGGTGAGTGCAGGGAGCGTCGCCCTCCCCGCCCCTCTCCACTCACCAGCTCGGTCCTGCGTCCCCTCTCGCTCTCCTTCCCATCATCTCCACCTCGCCCCCCTTTCGATGCAGATTCAGCTGAAGCGGAAGCGGCGGCGGCGGCGACGGTGCCGTTCTCACCTTGAAACTCGAGCCCGAGGTACTCTGCCGTGAAGAGGGTCATGATCCTGCTCCAGGCAAAGACGGTAGGGTAGTCCAGTGCGGAGCGATCGTCTGCCATCCTGTGCCAGACGCTGGGGAAGGGGTTGGGTATGACGTGCAAGATGGGTACGCCGGCGCGCAAAAAGGGCAGGTGGTCGTCCTCGATGCCGCCCCAGGCCGGCTGCGGGTGGAAAAAGGATCGACGCTCCTCCTGCAGCCCGGCGGGGAAGAGGAGGCCGGCGCTGCGCAGCCGCGCCTCGGCGTCGACCAGGGCGGCATGGAGCCACTCGGTCGGCTTGAAGTAGGACGGCACCGACGGGTTGCGCACGCCCAGCAGGTCGAGGAGGACGAGGTGCTCGATCGTATCCATGTGCCGCACGGGCGTGTAGGCGCTGTGGTAGCGCCGCGCCGTCAGCCTGGGCCCGTGCGCCGTGCTGCTCGAGACGTAGTCCATCGGACTCCAGAAGGTCGACGTCCAGTTCTTGGCCAGGTCCCTGCGCATGCGGGCGGTCCAAGCATGGCCGCGGCGTCGTCAGTATTGGAACGTTTCGCCCGCGGCCAGCACAAGATCCAGCGCCAGCAAGGCAGCGACCGGCGGGGCCGCAACTCACCTGGAGCCGTAGATGGAGTCGGTGTTGGTCCACTGCCGATACGCCTCTTCGCCGTCAAAGAGGATGATCTGCAGCGTCGTCTCCTCGCTCCTCGAGAGCGGTTTGTCGGGGTCCTGAACGTGGATTCTCCTCTCTCTCCGGTCGAGGGCGTCGTCGAGGGCGACGGCGATGTCGGCGAGGATGGCGCAGGGCGCCGCGCTGTCGGTGGCACCAATAAAGCCGAGCGGCGACACCTTGGAGTCGTAGTGGGCCGACAGGACCAGCTTGCGCGGCGCGGCCGGGTTCTTTGTGAGGACGATGTTGGTCATCCTCTTTGGTCCCTCGGGCGTGTCGGTGACGAAGGAGGGGGTGTCGATGTGCCAGCCGAGGCGGCCCTTTGACTCGTCGCGGCCGAGGCGGGTGCGGAAGACGTCGAGAAAGTACTCGCGCACCAGGGTGCTGTTGTCGGTGTCGGGCGGGCGCGGGATGAGGATGCGCGAGAGGAGGCTCGAGGTGTCGTCGTGGTTGATGAGCGGGCCCGGGTCGTGCGTCTGGGAGAGGGCGCGCAGGCTGGCATCTGAGAGCTTGCCGTAGTCCCTTGCCTGGGGTCGTACTGCGTGGGCCGAGGCGGTGCCGCCGTAGGGGGACGAGCCGCAGCTCAGCACCAGAAAGCCGAGGGCGAGGGCGAGAATGAGGCGAAGCTGAGGCAGGCCTCGTCCTCGCCATGCCTTGGCAGGTGCGCCACCAGGCACCCTGCAGCTGGGCATGATGTAGCTCTGCGAGGGAACGCCGAACAGGGGAAGGGCAAGGCAGGGTCGTGGTTTGGTGGTGGTAGGTGGTGGTGGTGGTCGAGGTGGACGCGGCTGCCGAGGCGGAACGAGGAGCGTTGGTCTGAGCGCGGGGGATGGGGTGCACCGTCTTCTGCGCTGGCAGCTCCTTGTCGGAACTCGGGCCAAAAGGCCGCCCGCACGGGCAGCGCCCAGCAGCGCCCCGCAGCGCCCCGCAGCGGTTGGCCCGCTCGCTCTGCCTCCCTCTCTCTCTCCACATCCCTTGCCGGCCTGCAACGCCACCACCGCCATCACCAGCAGCCCCCACTCAGCGAGTCTCCGTCCACGGCTGTCTGTGCACCCTCACTGGCTACGTCCGACCATGTCCTCTTGAACAACTCCCTTCGCAGCTGCGGCAAGCGCACGACCGTCTCCCAAGTAGCATCCGCGTCGATCTTCTTTCCTCTCCCTCTCGACCTCGACCTCGTCTCGCCCCGCAGCCACGTCAGCCCGAGACTGGAACTGCATACCACTCCACGCCTAGGTCGTGTCATACCGGCCCATCACCATGTCGATCCCCGTCCTCGACGAGCAGTTCCTGCCCCGCCTCGTCTGCGTCTTCTACGCCATCTTCCACCCGACCGAAGGGCCCAAGGTCGTCTACCAAGTGCCCGAGGGATCAGTCTGCGATCAGCGCCTCGACGACGTCGCAAAGAGTCCGGCGCAAAAACCGAAGCAGGACGACGAGCAGCAACGACACCAGCAGCATCCCTCCAGCGGCAGCAAGGAAGATGCCCATTCCACCGGCCCCTCGGGCGCGTCCAAGGCGCAGGTGCTTTCGGGCGACCCCCTCTTTGACTTTGCCCCGCTGTCCGAGTATCTCATACCCAAGGCGCCCCTCTGCGGCAGGCTAGTCGCCTGTACGGCCAGAAGCTTGCGCAAGCCCCGCAAGGCCGACTCGACCTCGGAGCAAGCGGCGACAGGCGATCCGCAACCTCCGTCTTCCTCGTCACGCTCCGACATATCGGCCGCAGCCGGACCGTCGACGTCTCCACCAGGCTCTCCGTCGTCCTCGACACACTCGCGGTCCGGTCCGCGGCCGCAGTCCAGCAGCACGCGGCCGGTCGGTAGGGGTCCCACCGCCTCGGCTCGCTCGTACAAGATTCTGGGCAACCCGATCCTCATCGAGGACGCCGCCCGCTACCGGAGGAACAACTTCATCTTCAACCTCTGCTTTGTCTTTGAGGGCCATTCCGACGTGCGCGCTTACGAGCCCGTCGTCCGCAAGTGCGGGAGGGTGCTGCGCGGCCTCGAAGAGTCGCAATCGTTCCTCTCCAACCCCAGGAGCATGTCGAGGGTGTACGGCATCATCGAGCAGCTGTACGAGGACCTCAACTCGTACTGCGAGAGCTTCGTCGCGCTGCCAGAGGCGCCCTACACGTCCTACATCCTCGCCTCGAGCCCGCAGACGATGAACAAGCTCTCTTCGCCCATCGTCGGGCCCCACGACTTCCTCTCGCTCGGAGCCAGCGCCACGTCTCTGCGCGACGAGCACCAGCGCAAGGTGCTGGCGCAGCACCTCCGTCAGATGCACATTTCGCCGTCCAAGTCGCTCGACGCCGATCCGAGGAGCAGCACCCACACGCCGCCGGGGCCGCGCTCGCGGGCGCCGTCGAACGGCGAAAGCCCGAGACCGGTGCTCTCGCCGCTGAGCAGCATCCGACCCGAGACGATGAGAAGGACCTGGACCGCAGCGACGGCCGATGCGGGCGGAGGCGCTGTCGGCGCTGGCGGCGCTGTATCGAGCCCGAAGTCGCCAGAGACGACGCATGCGCTCCCATCGCCACGGTCGCGGCGACCGACAGTTTCGCGGTCCGCCACGCTGGCGAGTCTGACGGGCCCCATCAAAGAGACCTTGCCGACCGCAGCGGCCGCGAGCCCATCCTCGTCGATCACCAAGACCTGGTCGGAGGCGCGCTTCAGTGCCCTCGGACGGGTGAGCGCAGAGGAACAGAGCGAGCTCGCCAAAGGCCTGATGGCGGCCGAGACTGGCCTGCATGGCGAGCCTGGGCAAGCGGCCGACCGCGCCGACGGCAGCCTCAGCGCGCGAAGGTCGAGCGGCGGCAGCCCGGCGATCCCCGCGAGCGGCAGCGACAGCAACGCGCTGGTCGACAGCATCGTGTCCCTTCAGACCATCGACGCCGCGCTCTCCAACTCGATCAACGCGCTGCGCCACGACACGTCCGACGTCACGACCAAGTCTGGCATCGCAGAGCGCCGCGAACCGCCGCACGGCCTCGGCCGCACCGTGCGCGACGCCGTCAACCTCAAGCTCTTTCCCACCTACCCCAACCCGCCGCCGGTCAATGACTGGGACGTGCCCGTGGCGCTGCTCGATCTCGGCAGCCGCGTCGACGGCAACTGGGACCTGACCATGGCGCGCATCTTTCCGTTCATCGACGGCGTCAACCACGTCAAGCGCATCGCCCAGCTCGCCGACGCCGAGCTCGGACTGGCGCGCTCGTGCATCGAGCACCTGCTCTACTACGGCTGCATCATCGTCATCGACATCTTCCAGTACTTCAACATGTATACGGTGCGGCCGGCGATTGCGAGGATGGCCGACGACGAGACCATGGGTCGCGAGTGCGCCACGTACGTCACGCGGCCAGGCTACCCGTTGCCGTCGTACCCGGAGCTGCTGCGGCTCTACTCGCTGCTGCGGCCGGGCAAGAACCTGCACGACTGGATCGAGGACAACGACGTCGACGCCAAGGGCATCGACGTGCGGCGCTTTGTCTCGTTTGGCGTCATCCAGGGCTTTCTGCGGCGCGTGCGCCGCTACCCGATCTACCTGGCGCGTGAGCCCGCCCCGGCGACTGCGACGATCGACGGCGAGTCGCGCCTCGATGCTTCGATGATCTCGACGGTGCGCGACTCGCCGATGTTCAGGTCGAACGAATCGCCGTCGTCGCGGGCGCGGCGAGACCAGAGCGGCAGTCGCGAGCCGCGCGACCGACGGCCGAGGGAGCTGACGGGCGGCCAGGCCGTGCCCGCGAGCACGGGGAGGGTGCTGCGAGATGGCCACGTCGCGACGGATCGTTTCGACGGCGCGCAGGCCGCAGTCGCGCAGCAGCGGCGGACCGCTTCCGAGGCGGCGGGCTACGAGGCCAGCGCGCACGCCTCGGACACGACGTCGCGTGCCAACACGGCGCGGTTCGGCACCTCGCCGACCAAGCGGCACGCCCAGCGTGCGCGCCAGCGTGCGGGCTACCATCATCCAACGGCCACGGTGATTGACGTTGCCAGCGTGGCATTCGACATCCGCGACAGCGCCAAGCAGACGGTCCCGTCCGGCCCTCGGTCGCCCCGGAAGCGGATCAGCAGCCAGAACATCGGGCTTGGGCTTGGCCACGGCTCCGGCTTCGCCTCGGCTGGCATCGGCGGCGGCGGCGGTGGCGGCGCAAGCGGCTCGGGCATTGCCGGTGCGAGCGGGATATCGCAATCGCAGCGCTCGGTGGTCATTGTGCCGCCGGAGCTGCCGGAGATGCTCGACGGGACGCGGTGCGACGACGAGCTGTGCGTCCACTTCGGCGTCAGCTGGCCGGAGCTCGAGAAGATGCTGATCCAGCTCGGCACCGACCGGAGGGACGGGCTGCGGCGGTACGGGGCGGGCGACGATTCCGACGACGGCGGCGGCGGTGTGACGGCCTCGGGATCGCGCGGGCCCGACCACTGGAGGCGGACCGCGGCGACGTCGTCTGGGTTGACGAGCGGAGGCGGGGGCGGCACGGCCAACAGCGGTGTGGGCGGTGCCAGTTCTGGGTGGAGTCGCGCGGCGAGGATGTCGGGCATCGGCAGCGGCGTCTACTCCGGCCACATGCACATGCGATCCGCCACAGGCGGTACGGCAGCGGGAGCTGGGGGCGAGAGCGGCAGCGGCTGGGGCGCGGGCTCGGAGGATGCTGCTGGGCCAGGCTGGTCGGGCTTTGGAGGCCTGGACCGCCAGACGATTGAGGCGGGCGACCTGGGGCGCGTCAAGGTGCTCCTCCAGTAGTCCCGAGTGGCAGAGTAACGGCAGGGGCAGCGCTGCGACTCGAGGGAATGGCAGGGTGCGGCGTGTTGGTCGCTGATGCCACTCTGAAGCACGCGAGGAACCTCGTGCTCCTCTCTCTCTCTC